GAACATTTTTCAATAAAATTAAAAGTAGCCTTAAAACTTTAAACTATATCTTAAAATTTCAAAACATCTTATATTTTGAAAAAAAAATAAATCTTTTAAAATATCATCTAATTTGAAATGGAATGAATATTATATATTTCAAATATTTTGTATTAAAATACCCGCACGGTTGTGCGGGTCGAAATCTAGTTCATATTATTTTTCAATGCTCAAATAAAAGTTTGTGCTATTATTTTCGTAGAATTTATTCATAGTATATATGTTATATACAACTAAAACTGTCGAATAAAACTGTGATGTTTTAAATGATAGGTTATTTCGGACCGAGTCTTCTTGAGACTTTTTTTTACAATTCTTTGGGGAGTCTGGTTGATACTTTTTTTACAAAATTTTGGAGTCTTTTTGGGATTTAGATTCCACCGTTCAAACATCTTATTTTCTGTATTCAGAACTCTATTTTTAGTTAGTTCACAGTCGGTATTATTGTTCTAATGTCTGCAATTTCATCATCGTATAGATAACACTTCCATATGCAATTCAATAACACCTCTTAGATATTATACATAATATCAGTTTTCTTGTGAATATCTCACGAAATTTCATTGCGAATATCCCTATTTTATCCACTGTATTTAAGATGCACCAGATATTCCTAATTGCAAGATAACGACAACAAGTCAGATATGCTATCACAAATCACATTTATTTTGTCATATGTACTATATAGTTAGAAAAAAAAGAGGAAATGTAACATCTTAAAGGCAAATAGTGAACAATGTTCATTGGGGGCTTCTTCTAGGTTGTTTCCAAGAACTACAAAGTCTGTTGTTCAGTTTATGTACGTACTCTTTCTTTATCTTGGGACACTTTTTGGTCTGTTGGCTTTAACTTGTTCACTTGTTAACGATTTTATTGTATGTATGGATGGCTACGATTAGGAAACATCGTTGTTAGTACTGGAGACAACTTATTATATTAATTTTTTTTACCTTCTGTCAATAAAGCAAAATATAGAGAAAATACAATCATAAACTCGCATATCCAAAACAAAAATACATATTGTGTTAATTTCGACAAACTTAAGAAAGCGGTTGACGAGAAAAAAGAGCCCTGCATCCTCTCAAAAAGTGTCAAAAGAGCTGAATATATGTTTATATGACTGTTATATTGAAGTTATCATTCGATCTGAATATTGGGTGTGATTGGTTGAAGCTGTAATTTTAGTTTTTTTTTGCTGCATAGTAAATTATCTTCTGTACGCAATCGACATTTTAAAAAATACTTTTTTTATCTATATACTTATTTAAAAAATAAATATGAATAACAAGTACGAGGCTACGAGGCGACATATATAAATATATACAGTCACGAGACTCACGACCCACGAGTTACATACATGTTCACGGGTCCTCACAATGAGTTCATTATATTTAAATTGCAGACCAACGGCCGGTGAGCATATACACTATACTTTTTCTAACAGAAATTTATCCCGAAACTTTAGTCAAAAGAAATCATTTTTTTTGGAAAATGGTGCATCCTCCTGAATCATGGACTAAGAAACTGTGGATAATAAATTAGTGCATCTGAGTCATATTAGTTATAAAATGAGATATGACAATTTTAATTAATTAATAAAGAAATTTGTTGGGTAATAGCTTCAAATTATAACATCGAATTTTTTTTGAATTGAATAACATCGAATTTAACACGGTATGAAACATATTGAAATCGTTTAATTGTTGTTTATATGACAAAACACATCATGTAGCATAAGTATCATTTATAAAAAAAAATGTCCTGAATATGAATTTAATAAGTAGAAAATAATAACTAATTATTTTGTTTATTTTTCACATTTGAAATATAATTAGGAAAATTGTGTAAACTGATGAAAAAATTGTATTATTTTTTAAAGAAATCTGATAACAGTAGATATTAATGAAAATAATACATTTTTAACCCTTCCAAAGCCAACAATATAAAAATGGTGCATTTTTAATGAAACTTATACAAATCTGTGAAAAACTTCTCCTTTTATTATTAAATTAAGAATTCACTTTTTAATTATTAAATCAAGAATTCACTTTATGTCAGAAAATACTGGTGAATGAAAACTTAATGTGATTTCACACTTAAAAGTATGGTTCACCTTGTCTCTCACATTCAAGCCATAATGTGATTTTCAAAGGGTGCACCTGATAGAGAAACATTACTTATGCTATCATTAACTTATTAATGACCTATTATCATACTATCATATGCTATCATGTACCCCCCCCCCCAAAAAAATATAAAATAAAGTTTGATAATATGTTTGATTAAAATCTGAACTAAAACACTAAAAAAATTAAAAATTGGTTTCTTGTATTTCAATTTAATTATAAAAAATTATTTAAGAAAACACTAAAACATGATCAAAATAGAATATTCCATCTGAGATGTTATAGTCGAATGGTAAAGAGAAAAGTTTAGGATATCAACATGTTTCAAATTCGATTCACCTTCATACATTTGATACTCATGATAATAAAGAAAATTAGTAAACTTCACAGATTCTGTTTGGACGGTGATGAATGTATCTGACATTGACACTTCAGCAAGTAGTAGGACTGAAAAGGTACGTATTGTTCGTTATTTGACCCCTTCCTACGTGGCATAAAACATCCACTCAGCTTCTTTTTGTTTCTTTTATTTTCCTATGTGTGCTTGTTTTATATTATTAACTAAAATAATCTCTCAAATTTTATTATTTTAACAGATTTAAATAAAAGTGTTATTATTATTAAAAGGTTCAAAATGAATCATCTCGGTAATATTTATGATTGAGTTACAGAGATGTAAATAAACGGGTCCAAAATTAATGAAATACACATGTGCAGTGTAAACTAAAAATCATTGTAGCTCACTAGCTGAATCATTGCCCGTAGCGCAGAGATGTTTAACACATGTGCATTGTAAGCTAAAATGGCTTTCTCAGTCAACTTTTGATTCAAGGTATGCAGACGGCAAAAACAAAATTGATTTACAATGTAGGATTGAGAGAGATATTTTATAGCTTAATTAATTGATAAAGCTAAAAAATTGATTAAGCTAAAAACATAAATAAACACATAAATTTCTCCCACAAACAAAAATTTAATGTAGAAGATTTGGTCAATATGAAATAGAGAGACGGTGCATCAAATAAATGATACTAGAGATTTTAGAGGTGCGTGTATAATGGTTTAGCAGATAGTATAACACTGGTGGAGAAAGTTATACAACATTAATCCAAGAGACCATATATTTTGAGAATTACAGTATTTGCTAAACTATCTGCCTCACCATTCGTTAGCATCTCTTGCTATGAACATGAACCTTTATTGATGATTTGTTGATGTACACTCTGATGATTTCTTGCCTCCATTTTCTGATCTCTCAGAAATCACATTTGCTGGTTGCGTCAAGTGTACATGCTCTCCGCATCTAGGGAACTTTCAGTAGGTTGTATGGATGCTGAACCTTTAAGGATGTAGCTGCCTCCAAGATCTATCCAGTAATAGTTCAAGATACCCAGCCTATTCCATCTTTGTGCTTGTTTTGAGACTCATGAAGCATTTACAAAACACCACACTGTATTTAGTTTTGTTGATGGCTTCCATGCATGTTTTTGGAGCCTTTTCTTTCTAGTATAACTTATACTATATAAGCAAGTCGCAAAATAATTCTCTGGACAACCAGAACATTTTTTTCCATTTCTGTAGTAATTATCTTGTTAAATATATATTTCGTTGAAAGAGCTTATAAAACTCAAACAAGTTAGCAGATTTCACCTTCTAATTCACTTAGTATCCTTGTAATGAAGGAACAACTATGGACATGGCATTTGTGAGTTTTGTCTCTAAAACAATAGCTGTTGTCTCCGTTGCTCAAACCCTCAAATGTCACAACAGAGGATGATCTACCTGGCAAGAATTTCAACAATTATAACAATACATTGCAACAACCTAAGCTCTGCTCTCTGATGCAATCTCGGCGCTATTGTTCAAAGTTCAAACCCACCAGGAAGCAAATCATTGTTGAATCTGTAATATTCCGTATAGTATCGTAATAGGAAGGATCCACATGAACAAGCAATGAACTTCTGCATAACCCCACCCATGCTACCACCAACAATCTACATCATGAAAAAAAACAGGATCAATTAATCGCAAAGATGTGACAAAATCTGCAAATCTAGGGTTCCCAACCAATTAGCTTACGTTGGATTCTGGAGTAGAATGGAAATTTGCAATTCTATATTTTGTTTGTTTTAATGAGTGATATTACTAAAACCACATTTCAAACCGGTACATTCAACCGATTACTCACGGTTTGTTTCAAATAAAACTGGTTGCCGTTTCTAAACACGGTGTACAGACGACACGCTGTCTATGATTTTCGGTATCTGCTTCAGTCTTCATTTTGGCCACCTTCTGTCATAAGAACTTCAAACAGTATCTATGGTGATAGGATTTTATGTGGAAACCATCTCCTTAGATGCATGATGCATCTCATCTCTGTATCGTATACAAGTGTATGATCTTTCTTTGACGAGGTAACAACTATATGTGTATGCATTTTCAATTGTTTTAAGCAGCTCTACCTTTTTTTGTTGTCTCATTGTGGGTGTGAGCATGGGATCATCAATTATAAATCATTTTTTTTTCTTGTGATGTACAAAATACCGATCCTTGTATTGTCCATTGGTTTATTCGATCGGATCCTATCTGCTTCAAACATTTACTCAACCACATAATCAAAGTATCAAACCAGTTTGGAATATAATTTTCCTAAAATTCAATCATTCATTCTTAAAGGTAGCTACAACACTAGTAATGGATAAAGAAAACCAGAAAAAAAAACATTTGAAAGCCTAAAAAAGAAACTACTTGCGTGACACGGCAAGAGAGAGCTAGGGTCAAGAATAAACAAAGATTAAGTCACATATATAGCAGAGTTGTTTCCCAAGGAATCTCTCATTTAAACCACAGCCTGAGCTCGAGGTCCACCTTCGTCGTCCTCTCTGTGAGTGATTCTAGTGAGGTCCCTTGCACAGCTTCTAGAGGAGCCATCTCCGTGCGCACTGGAGGAGCTAATGGTATATTTAGGTCCACAGACGGCCCCAGCCTGAGCTCCAGGTCCACCGTTGTCGTCGTCTCTGTATCAGGCCTCTCTTGTACAACAGCTTGGAGAGGAGCCATCTCCGGAACCAATGGTATATTTAGGTCGGAAACTCTTGGTGGAGAAGATGGAACACAAACAAGACGAGGATTTCTCTTTCTCGTTGGAAATTTAGGAAGTTGCCTGAATGCCACTTCACATAGAGATAACTCTCTAGCTGGAGGAGGCTGATGAAAGAAGGCTAGATATAGCTTCCCATCTTGTGATGAGTGGAATGACCATAGTCGAAGAACCTGCCCTACCTTGTTCTGGAGATTGTTCTCGCGGACGACGTTGTTCCATCCAGAACATAAGGAGTAATTAGGACAGTTCATATTCCATCTCCTTACGTTAGCATTCCATCTTCTACCATCAGATGCAACCACGATCACACCAACACCTTTTTGACTATGATCTCTTTGATGCTCATCTATGAGGTTCAACTCTGCCTCGTTCAAAAAGTCTTCCTCCACTATCTGGTTAAAGGGAATCAAGAGACGTCCTTGGTTTGCGTTGACATCTGTCGGCTGAATCATCTTATCAATCACCAGCTTTGCGTCCACTCCGTTTAGTGTTCTCATCAGATTAACCAGCCATTCCGGCGTCGGCCCTCTCTCTCCTTTGACCGGCCGTTTAGTTCTGGTCTTAATAGGCTTAACTTCCCTAATAGGCTCTGCTCTGATGGGTTCTTGAGACACCATACGATGTCTATTGGACTCGACGGAGGACAAACTCCAAGAAAAAGAAGAAGAAGAAGCATAATCTTGAGGGTAATTAGTAGGGTTTTGTTGATTCTTGCATTCATCAGTCGTTCCTATGCCTAATGAAAGCTCCGTAGATACACTCTCATCTTCTTCTTCTTTTACTTGTACTGCACTTCTTGTTTCTTCCTCGAGGTAAGAGCCAAGCAACGCTAGAAGATCAAGACATCTTTTCTCACTTCTGGAATCCTCATCGGAGCGTTGATCATAACCATCTGTCACCATCTTCATCGAAAACTATAAAGTAGGATTCTCTTTTGGTTATGAATCAATCTCTCGAAATAATTAACAACAATAAGAAGATATGAGTATGCTGATAGAGGTTTGATGAGTAGCAGTGCTTATATATAGTGATTTTGATATATAAGACTAAAGAAGACCTTTTCCTAAGCGGACTATAAACTATAGTTTCTTTCCTTTATAGTTTTTGTTTAGGTAAAGATATATAATCCTAAATCTGTTAGAAGTTGCATCTTTTCCATACACGATTAGTTTTAATTATCGCTAACGGAAATATATAACTTTCAACATAATTAAGTTCTCAGGAAATTCTTGGAGAACCAATCATATTAATTTTAGTGGCGTTGTATACTTGCAATATTTTGACAACTACTCTGTTATTTTTATTTAGTGAAGATAATCTAAAATCTGTGGTAACCTCTGTCTTTTTTTTGATCAATAAGTATATTTTATTCTTGTTGGCTAGTTTTATTTCCCATTAACAAAAATATATGTATGTTTTAGATTATCAACATAGATTAAAGATATTAATTAATTTTTCTAAATAAAGACATCATTAATTATTATCTAATTACAATTCAACTACAATAAAATAAAAAACTATAACAGTCTTATCTAACATTAATTATTCATAAAGTTTATATAAAAAAATGAAAAACGCCGAATCATTTGGAAAATGCTGTTAACGGACACAGAAAAGAATAACGGACACAGAAAAGAAATCCTGTTAAAGCCTTAAAAAGAAACTACTTGTGTGACACGACAACAGAGAGCTTAGGGTCAAGAATAAACATATGTAAACACCAGAATCCTATTTAGTATTGGAATGGAAAACCACACATTCCTTGTATGAAATGGAATTATAGCTAAATGGCGATGAACACGAAAAAGAATAACACCAAAAAGGAATTAAAAAAGCCAAAACCAAACTAGAATAGAAGAATAGAACACGCTGCATCAGTTAAGTGAAATCCACCCTCGTCGTCGTCTCAGTGACTGATTCATGTGAAGTCGTCCTAACCGGAGCTCGAGGTCCACCATCGTCGTCGTCTCTCCCACTGATTCCTGTGAAGTCCTCCTATCATGCCTTGTGGGCCCTAGCCGGAGCTCGAGGTCCACCATCGTCGTCGTCTCTCCGACTGATTCCTGTGAAGTCCTCGTATCATGCCTTGTGGGCCCTAGCCGCAGCTCGAGGTCCACCGTTGTCGTCGTCTCTCTGACTGATTCCAGTGAAGTCCCCCTACCATCATGCCTCTCTTGTAGATCCTCAAGAGGAGCCAATGGTATATTTAGGTCGAGGTTGCCTGAATCTATATCTAGAGCCATGGATGAAGATGAAGCTGCATGCATCTCCGGAGCTGGAGGCTGATGAAAGAAGGCAAGATATAGCTTCCCATCTTGTGATGAGTGGAAGGACCATAGTTGAAGAATCTGACCTATCTTGTCCTTGAGATTGTTCTCGCGGACGACGTCGTTCCATCCCGAACATAAAGAGTAATTGGGACAGTTCATATTCCATCTCCTTATGTTAGCATTCCATCTTCTACCATCAGATGCAACCACGATCACACCAACACCTTTATGACTATGATCTCTTTGATGCTCATCTATGAGATTCAACTCTGCCTCGTTCAAGAAGTCATTCTCCACTATTTGGTTAAAGGGAATCAAGAGACGTCCTTGGTTAGCGTTGACATCACTCTTCTCAATCATCTTATCAATCACCAGCTTTGCGTCCACACCGTTTAGTGTTCCCATCAGATTAACCAGCCATTCCGGAGTAACCCCTCTCTCTCCTTTGACCGGCCGTTTTCTTTGGACCTTAACTTCCCTAATAGGCTCTACCCTGATGGGTTCTTGAGACACCACAGAGGACAAACTCGAGGAGGAGGAGGAAGAAGAAGCATTGTCATGATAGTAATTAGTAGCGTTGCATTCATCACTCTTTTGTTTGAATAGACAAAGTTCCTTAGATACACTATCTTTTCCTTGTACAGTTCTTGTTTCATCCTCATCATAAACGCCACGAACTAACGCCAGAAGATTCATTAGACATATCTTCTCACCTCTGGAACCCTCCTCGGAGCGTTGATCATCACCATCTGTCACCATCTTTATCGAAAACTATAAAGTAGGATTCTCTTTTGGCTATGAATCAATCTCTCTGAGATAATTAACAACAATAAGAAGATAGGAGTATGCTGATAGAGGTTTGATGAGTAGCAGTGCTTATATATATAGTGATTTTGATATATAAGAAGACTAAAGAAACCTTTTCCTAAGCGGACTATAAACTATAGTTCCTTTGTCCTTTTTGATTAGGTAAAGACAATCTCAAATCTGTTAGAAGTTGCATCTTTTCCATACGATTATTGCAGTTTTAATTATTGCTAACGAAAATATATAATTTTCAACATTATTAAATTATCTCAGGAGATTCTTGGAGAACCAATCATAATTTGACAAGCCTAACTCTGTTCTTTTTTACTTAGTGAAGATAATCTTAAATCTGTAATAACTACCTCTGTTCAAACTGTTTGTATATTTTAGAGTATTTGCACTCCATACACACAGAAAACCTCATAATTAACTATATATCTTAAATCCCCTTCCATGATACCTTTGTTCATAGACACCAACCTGTCCCATCAAAAGCATTTTTCTAATTTCACTATTTGTTTTTGATTTCTACCAAATTCACTCTATATTTTATTCCTTTTAATAGTTAGTTTTAATTCTCAATTAACAAAAACATTTAACTTTTTTTGGAGAGGGAGATAGAGTTAAGAAAAAAACCTTGAAAACATTACTTTTAAGTTTTTACAAAGGTGAAATTACAATTACGGTTGGTATTCAAAATAAAATAAAACTAGGTAATAATCCGCGCCTTGCGTAGAATGAGATTATTATATTTGTTACTTTTACGATAAAAATGATATTATGTTTGTTTAGCATGGATATTGGTTCAGTTTTAGTTGTATTTTTAATGTCCTAAAATGTAACTATCATTTTAAATCTATATTTATTTTGGTTTGTTTGGTTTAAATGTTTGATGTTTTTAATTTTTTAGATGATAACAAAAAATTATTGTTATTTGTTTGGTTTTATTTTATATAAATTTTAGACATTTTTGATGTCGAACTAATAGTTCCTATTATAATTTCTAAAGACATGTAAAATAAAATAAAATCTAAATAATATTTGAAGAAAAAAAAATTATAAACACAAAATATTTCACTACAATTTGAGCGATAATGAAAGAAAACATTAAAAAAAACTCAACTTCAATAAGAATTAA